GGGCATTCGACGGGTGTATTTTGTTCCGCCCCGTTGTACTCTTGTTGTTTTTGCTTTTGCAATTTTTTTATTCTGACGCTACAATCCCATATATTTTGGATTTTGGCATCATTTATTGATGTTTAAATAATAAATATAAACACTAGTACCAATTGGAGGGTAAAACAATTCATTGATATTATTTGGAATGATGTCTTAACTACAAAGCGTTGCTGTACTGTACACGAGTAAATGGATTTGTTGACATGATTTCATAGAAGATACATCAATCGGTTTGTTATTAGTATATCAATAAAATGTTTCATTGATTTGAAAAATAGTTATCAATTAATTAAGAAAAATGATCTTAACTTGGTTTCAAACCTAAACCGTTCACCTCTTTTGGTTATTAACTAATTGCGTTCAACATTAGGCTACATCGGACATAGACGAATATTGATATAGAAACTGTTTTAACCCAGGAAACATATTTCGCAGTTTTGAGAAACTTGATCAACCCTGTTTTTCATTATTTTGAGCGCTTTCCCAAAAAAGGACCACTTTTCCGTCATACGTTTTGTTTTTGCATATAACATCAGGGAATCAAAAAAATAAATAAAAAGTCGGTCCTCGGATGAGAAAGTATTGAATGATTTTTTTTTTAAGTCTGGGAAACCCCATCACTTTAATAGAAATAGTGAATTTGGCTATATTAGCAGAATTATATTTACAATACCGAATATCTAAACAGTTCAAAAATTCATATCGAATTCGTTTTAAAAAATATTTACTCATCAATATCTTTTTCTGTTTCCAAAAATGCGGGCAGTTTTCCACCATAGCTCTTTTAACAGTACACGAGGTATCCGGTACACAAGGGTTAATGTATACACGTTAAATCAGATACATACACTATACAGTCTAGAAACCTGTCACAATCGAGACACTGGCACAGTTTACATGGTGAAAAAGTCATCATAGCTGCCGAGTTGCCAATTTCGGCAGCATAAATCCCTATGTCTTTTCACAAGGATATCATTAAAAAGTTGTTCAACCGGCTTGTTATGTGTAGCGTTTTGAAAACAGAGAATGGTGTCTTGTATTTCTGTTATTATTGTTAACTGTTACGTAACTTAGCATAGCCATCTTTACAGCGTAAAACAAGCCTGTTATTGTTTCAAACACAATAGACAGTGTATGTCAATTGTATTACTGACAACTGTTCTATTAAGTCATGTTAGTTTCATTCGCTTTTCGATTCAGCTGAAAATCGAGTGTGAGGTTACCGTGCAAGGGAGGTTATACCTACTCATACAATGGAAATAAATTGAACGATTTTTATATTCCATGATAGCATGTTGTAGCTAATGTAACGAGGATAAGATACTCGCTAAAACACGATAACTTACAGAATACACTTACAGATTATTAAATATTTCTAATATGAAATGTTTCCTTATTAGGACATAATCATGGCCTATACCTACTAAATATGCCAATGAACTTGTATGAAATTTATCCACTGTTTTTCATTATGTATAGCAGTCTAGGTCAGACACTTTTTTTTTCATAAATTAAGCGTACATTTAAAAGTATTTTGACATATACAAAATGTATAGCGTATTTTCAAAGATATATTGCAATTCGTAATTCAGGAAAACAGTATTAAAGCATTTTCTTCTCTTAACATTATCAGTTCATCTGATGTCCTGTGATTTTTCGGAATAACGTCTACATATATTACATGAATCAGGATATTTGTGTTTAATGCATCACTCATTCCCACTTAATTTCATATACATCTTTCAGGAAAGTGGTAAAAATGGATCTTCAGGCTGAAACAGAAGTTTCTTTTATGATGGACAACGCCGAATTAGGATTGATATTGAATTTATTTGTGTACCCAGGACAAGAAGATCCAGGTTTGGTATTTTTTAATCCCGTCAAATTTTTGTGATTGTATTCTTGTTTAAAAACTTACTTTTTACAACTCAAATATTTAAATTTTAATGTATCATAAAATCATTGCGTTTATGTACCCGTTAAATATGCTAGACTTTAAACTGACAGTGCACATTAATGAAACGAATGAAAATAAAGTTATATTTTGAGGTGATCTCCTGTGGCTATCTTTTCTTGCAAAGCCCCGATATTTGAGTTTGTAATCGCTTGGTTACGAATATTGGCCTCCCCGTACTTTACGCGCATTACCAGCTATATACTCGTGAATAAGTGACACATCTATATATATATATATATATATAAGTATTGTCGGCCCTAAAAATACTTCCATTATGGATAAACCGCAAATATATTATAACAATGAAGAATGCGAGTTTTCATGTCCTATGTGAAAACAATACTTATTCCAATTATTACCATCAAAACAGTCTATTTTTACTTCTATGTATGTAAACAGACGGATCACTTTAAGCTGTTTTCAGTGTTATATGATTCATTTGTGGATGCAAAATTTCTGAAATGTTTTTTTTTCTTGGATTGGTTGCCGATCAGGGTATATGCTTTTTTTAATTATGTTAAACTTTTCTCCCTCTTGCAACAATTTTCATTATTAGGAAGGTCCGTGTGTTCAAGCAACAATGGTGGATGTAGTACCTTTTGCCTGCCAAAAGCGTCAATTTCATCATCATACTGCGCATGTCAGGATGGAACAGACCTAAAGTCGGACGATCCTTACACGTGTGTAGGAGGCAAGCATCTTTTTCTTAGAAATGTTTACATTTGCGACAACAGTGTTGTTGTTGTTTTTGTTGCTGTTGTTCATGTTTGTACTTATTGTACATATGTAATGTATACCGAACAAAACAATGCAAACAAAGGATATGCATACACGTTGAGTAATAACATGTTTGCTAAAGCTTTTGTTATGAAAATGCAATAGTAAAGTAAACGATACATTTAGGTTGACACAATCCTTTATTACAGTAACACGTTGCCCATCAGCCATATATAATGGAAACTTCAATGACCCGTGTACACGTTATGTCGGTGATGCGTGTACGTTCCAGTGCAACGTTGGATATATCAGTACAGTACCGTCAAAATCAGTGACTTGTGAGCAGAATGGACAGTGGAATCTAAATCTGCAACAACTCTGTCAACGTAAGTGCTGAATATCGGATCTATGATCGCTTTAACAACGAGACAAATTTTCAAAATAATTTGTTATTTCATTAAATTTAATGGAATTTACACACCTCCCTTTCTGTATCAACATCAATCGAGACCAATTTGGTTGCCGACGTTTTGGTCCCTAGCATCACCGATGAGTCCTAAAAGGAGGCCAACTAATTTGACGAAAATAATGGCCACAGTTATCTCTTTTTGTAAGTGGCATGGTTCATGATATACACACTTTAGTCATTATTTAATTTTGAATAAACCAGTACTTCTCTAAATTTTGAAATTCACAAAATTATGGGTTTTACGCCCCTTCCATCCTGTTTCAACGTTAATTAAGACCAATTCAGATTGCAAACGTATTGAACCCTAGCATTTCTGATGAGTGCTATCCTAGATTGATGAACAGCTGTATGATGCAGTGAACTTAGGTTTCAGCATACTCTATCTGTTACTGAATTCTTAAAGGTGCACTCACATGTGTGTGTTACGTTCATCTTTGATCAAATATCATTTCTCAAAATGAAAATTGTATTAACAGCAAATGCCATTTCATTCACAGTACAGTCTACCTGTTCGTTAGGTATACCTAACGGAAAGTTCGAAGACTCGTGCACACGCAACCTCGCTGATACGTGTACATTCATTTGCAACGTTGGATATGTCAGTACAGTTCCGTCTAATACAGTGACGTGTGGACATAATCGACAGTGGAATGTACATCTGCAACTACTCTGTCAACGTAAGTGTATTATATTAACTTCTGGTATATTGCAGTTGATAAAATGTTATTTGGCATTCGGTTTTATATAGTATGTATCCTGTTTATGAATAATTTGTTATGTCATTATTTACTAAATTGAATAGAAGATGTATTGATATATTGATTGGCAACACCATTAAGTTAAAGTAACACGTCGTCTCTCAGCATTTCACAATGTTAACACAATGAGTGGTTGTGCAACAGGGAGTTCTTACCATCCATCAATGACGTGTAAGGCCGGAATCGAGTACACGTAATGTCTGAAAGTATTCTCTCTTCGTACTTAGTTCTAATACTGCCATGATAGAAGGAATTGCTTTTTGACTAGTGTTCAATAACCAAATTACAAAATCTTCTGGGCGAATGTATGCGTTACGATGCTCTCCTCAGCCGGCGTCATGCAGACATGTTCGAACTATTTTGGGGTCAATGTTAACATATGATTGATCCAGAATTGATTTCTAGCTATTTCCATACCGGTCAATCACCTGCTGCGCAAATGTGGAAGACACATTGCGGAATGCTTACGACGCGTCGTCACACAAGGGCGACGATTCCTGGATTCATTGCAAATTATCCCAGTGATGTAGTCTTTTTACTACCTGCCTACGACCGGCATAAGGCATTGTACATGTAGATCGTGGAAAATCGAGTTACCCATTAATGTTACCTTGGTTACAAAAATGATTGCATCTGCACCAATTAGTATTACCTTGTTTACAATAGAGGTTGCATCTGCACCCATTAGTGTTACCTTGGATATAAAAATGATTGCATCTGCACCCATTTGTGCTACATTGGTTACAACGCAATTGTCTGTACATTGTCTGGTACAGTGGTTGTTACTCTTTTATAGCTTGCTTCATGTGCAAGCTGTCCAATAATGTAGTTACATGTATAATGCATAGTAGTTTTCACCAATTATTCCTCTCAAGTCTTATGTGGTCGACAATAATACATTGATTTCTTTGTCATTATCAATTTTTGAATATATCGTCAAAAGATTAGATGACAATTCATGAAAGAAATCACATGCGTTCATTGCCATATGTATATGATATCTGAAACAGACGACGTAGTTTGTGAAAGTAATGTTTATATAAATCAAAACAAAACGCACATCCTGTCTGAATTCTCTGAGGTTTTGTTGGTGCAGTTTGGTTACAACATTGACAAAAGGCAGGACAGTAGTCCTAAATGTTATATATTAAAAACAAATTAGATTTCATGTAGGCTTTGGTGCGTCTTTGCAGATGTCCAAAATGTCGGTCTATATCATTATTGAATATGAAACATTATATTTGTTACCTTAAGGGATTGCTTGATTTTACATATTATTGTTTGCAATGTAATTTATGTCGTATTGATTACAGTTAAAGTGACGACTCCTCCATCCAGTACAGATACAAACCACCAGATGTTTATATACATAGGGGCTGGACTTGTGGGACTAATTATCGTTTCGGTCACCATAGTGGCGATTGTATGCGTCAGGAAAAGAAGGTGAGTTTGCAATAGCAAGTTCGTTATTGATCTATATAAAAGAAACGTAATGAGTTGTTATTAAAAAGAGTATTGCACGACTGTGTGTTTGATAGTTTTATTAATCACAATAAGTAAAACAAAATCTTGCAAATTATATATAATTATTTTGAAATTTGAATAAATATGTAAACAAAGCAAGGTTCTTACATATTTAGTTGTACACAAATTAATATAATTGATACTTTTTAAATCGTCCTTTTGTTGTTTCTGTTTGCGACGTGGGATGTTTCAACACATTCCTAGTTTATCAGGCGCATTAGTAATCAAGTTTGGGTCGTTCGTTTTGTTCTTATGACAACTAAGTCCAACACCAGATTTTGATTGCTAAAGTATGATAAGTTTGTTTCATGAATCAGAGGTGTGTCATGATGACACTGGCCCCCAGTTCTATGCACATGACACCTTGCAGGATGATATTTATTAATTGAACAAATGGCAAATATATAATTGTTAACATGGCATCATTACAGTATGTCATATATTAATCGAACAAGAGGAAAATATAGCAACTATCAACCAAAACACACAGGGAAAGTATTCTAGAAAAAAAAGTTTCTAAAAAAAAAATGGTTATAACGAATAGTTTATTTTAGGCGCACCATACTATGATCACCATCTTCTTATTGAATTACTGGTAGTCAAATTTTCGTATAACTTTGTGTTTAAAGTTTTATAGCTGTTTTGAAAATAACTAGCATGATCTCTTAGCTTTTGAATTTGCAATATGAACTCCGGTCTGTATATCAAACTATTGACTCTAGTTAGAAAGAAGCAATATAGTGGAGACATCATATATCGGTATATAAAACCAGTCTATTCTGCAAATCACATTAACCAACTTAAAATACATTTTTTTTTATAATCACTTGTCCACAACTTAATTTATAGTAACAGACGCGGCCCCCAACCTCCGTCAAATAGAAGTGAACCAAACGTTTATTATACGCCTTACCAAATGGGTCCTAACCAAGGAGGAATGCTTGCTGCCGGAGTGGTAAACCAAGGCATGTATAACGTAGGAAGCCAATTAGATGAAAAAATGAAAAATCTACCCTCTGCGCCTATTCCGACCCCTCCATACCAAGCAAGACCAGAACACACATATGATACCATCCCTGCTAACAGTGACCCGGCTCCTCCCTACGAGGCACCAATGGTCAGCCGTGGTCCTTCAGTGAGATCAGAGTCTTCAGTTGTCTCTGTGCCAAGCGGTGAAAATGACTATTTGACCCTCATTCGTAGAGGGGTTAGCGAATAAGGAAAGTTGCTTTGTATGGCATATGAGAATATGTATGACGAGTCTAAGATTCAATATAGCTTTAATGTTATCAAGGAAATTGATATAACTTCATAGGAATTATTGTGAAGAAGAGCACTAGTTAATTGGTGGTACCCATCTTGAGCATGAAACAATGACGAAAAAAGTTTTTTTCTGGCTTCGAATTTCTTCTGAAGTCAATATTCATCTCTCAAATTGTTGCTGAGTATTTACCCTTGTTTGCAGCTACACCAGTACGCTAGGCTGATTGGTGAAGCTTGACCATAGGGCATGATGACCTAATACGCGGATTACGAGCTATTCCTTTGTAACACGAGTGTGGTCATCCCATAAACACGTGATAATCATAAATAGAATATCAGATGGTCAACAGCTGGGTGCTGTTCTAGAACAGGGACATTACATGTATTATCGATAACGCAAGAGCCAATTTATATAATATGCAAAACACAAGTTTGTGATTATTGACTCCGAGTAAACGATTATAAATAAAGATACCATCTACACAAATGTATTTATTTTACAAAATAAATTGAATTTGTTTTAAAACAGTTTAATTTTAAACAGATATTGTTCTTTAAAATACATCGCGAGACCTGATTTAAGTGTATTTCTTTTTCTTATTATTTTATGTTACCAAGAATATTACATTTCTATTTATAAGTTAGGTTGAACGGTAGTATATTAGCAAACGGAATGAATAAACATTTTATTATGATTAGTGAATGTGAATTCGCTCCAACGGATTTTTTTGGGTTTGGTACCTTACACGCTGATGGCTTATGCATAACAAAGAGTGAAATTGGATACGCTTGCGTTTCAGGCACGTTCATGTATTACGTTTAATGTATAAAATGAAATAACATTTACTTATGTTGTTTAAATTA